GCGGCGGCGCGGCGGGCGCCGCGGGTGTGGAGGTCGGAGTCGCAGCGGTGCGCGCAGTGCTGGCAGCGAGGCTGAGTTCTCCAGAGGAGGAAAGGTAGGTGTGGAGGACTGTTTGACGGCAGAAGAGTGTTAGAGGGCTGCAGCCATGTTTTTAAGGGCTAAAAGGAACAACGTTAAGTCGACGCTGCTGGGAAGGGAGCGGTGGGCTCCTTCGGAATCTGGGGCGCGGGAAGCTGGAGAGGGAGCCTTAGTTTAAGAGAGGCTGGGGCATCTATGAGGTTGGAAACGAAGGGTATTGGAGCTGGTGACTCAGAAGTAAAAGAGACTTGGCTTGTTTGTCTTCATGCCCAGAGCTTGTCCGGAGAGCCTGGCTCTGGGTAGGTGATGGGTTTGTGACTCCGGGTTACTTTGGATGCTGCAAGCAGTGGAGGTTAAACAGCTCTGGTAGGTCGCTGGCACTCTTCCTGGAGAAGAACTCAAAAGAGAGGGGTCTGGAGGTGTGCCTTTTCTTTTACCTCCCCATTCGCGTCACTCCTTCCTTATCCCCACACACGCTTTGGTTTGGGTGCTCTTAAACGCGACAGTCTCTTTGTTTTGGTGGCTTTTCTGGACAGGCAGGATGAGAGAGGGTTTTTGGCTTGGTGAAAACCAACCTTCATTTCTAGGTCGACTTTAAATTTAAAAAGGTGTCCTTTGGTCTGTTAACCTTTGAGGACTGCTTGGTTTCGGCGCTCTTAAAACAAATGCGACAATCCCTTTGCTTTGGTGACTTTTCTGGACAGGCAGCATGAGAGCGTTTTTGGCTTGGTGAAAAGAAAACCAGCCTTCATTTCTAGGTCGATTTTAAATGTAAAAAGGTTTCCTTTGGTCCATTTATCCCGTTGAGGACTTCTGTTTCTCCTCCTCCACCTTGCTATTCAGCAGAACAGGGGCAGAAGTGACAGCAAAACTCTCCTGTGTGCCTGTCGTAGGAAGCATTCCGGGGCCCACTTTCTGAATTCTTAGATGAAAATGTATACACGGCACTGCCACACTCCTGCCCGAGCAAACCAGGGTTCCCCCGCCATAGGATTGAAGGTCAGTGTGAGAAGGCAGCCAGTATGTAAGGGGAGCCCTGCCAACAAGGCTGACGAAGCCCCACTGTCAAACTAAATCACAGCCCCCACAGCCCCAAAGTGGCCTTCTCCCCTCCCTTCCTTCCGCTGAGCACAGCCAGAGATACATCTGACCAGAACTGCAACATTTCAAACATAAACCAAGATCTGCCTGGAAATCCTAATTTAAAAAGTTCCATTCCCAGGTGGCACAGTCACATCCTGCCTAAAATTTCTGGCCCACATCCCACCACCCAGATGCTGAAAAGAAACCTCCCACTTAACACAAAAACCTGCACTCCACGTGTCTTCAGGGGGCAAAGGGAAAAAAAAAGGATGCTGACACAGAGGTCAGGCCCACGTGTTCATTAAGGAAAAAGAGCGTGGCTTATTCATCTGTCTTTCAAATGTTTGATTGTTGGCATTTTGCGGATGATGATGATTAATTATATGACCTAAACGGATTGGAGGAGAGACTAAAATGCTGGTGCTTTGAAATGATCTACCCAACTCTGTCATCTGTATCAACCAGTGATAACTCTCTTGTCTTGTTTAAAAAAAAAAGGGTTTGTACATAACTTGTACATGGTTTCATTTTGTATTTTTCGCAGATTAAAAATTTATGTATTTGTGTTCTAAAGCAGCGAGTGTTCCTTGTGTCTCTGGAGCACCCACGTGTCCGTGGGGGGTTGGGGGGGTTGGGGGGGGTTGGTGGTGGAGTGCCCGGGTTCCTGTCAGGCTGCTGGGGTTCCCTCTGATGATGGCAAAACCGCGGACGTATGGGAGCCATGGGAGAGCCCTTACATTGCCCTTGCAGCTTTGAGTGCAGAGCCTTCCACCTCCAGGGAGATGGTCAGCAGGGGCCAGCCCAAGACTACGGTGGGTAGTGGGGGAGAGGAAGAGGCGCTGTCACTAGATGTGGTGCCCGGGAATCCCTCCGGGGTCATACCCCGGCCGGAGGGCCCACATGTTCCTGCAGACACCTCCCTCAGGCAGGTGGCTAAAGAAATTGGCAGCCTTTCCGTGGGCCCCTGGGAAGCTAGACTGTTTCTCTCCTCAGCCACCTGCACAGAAGCTAGTTTCCCTTTCCTGACCTCTACATGGTGAAGCAGTGTTCTTTTCCCTTGCATTTAGCTTATTGAAACCCAGGACAACCTTCAGAAGTCTTGAGTCCCCCCGCCCCACACTCACCTCCACAGAACAATAGATAAAACTGCATCTCAAGGCAAAAAAACAAACAAACAAAACTCTTAAGAATTAGTGCTGTGGTTTCAGCTCCCTGATTTAAATCATCTTCAGAATCCTGAGTCTGAACTCTTTTAGGGAGGCTGGACTCCCAGAGTTAAGGCTGGTGTAGCCCAGAGGAAGGGAAGGAACTGGAGAGTGGAGAAAAGCCATCCAGTGTATCTGTAGGTACTGTGTATGATGATTGGCATTTAATGTCTTCTAGAGATTGTTCATCAACCACATATTTACTATGAGGTTCAGATTCCTCCACTGGGAGCTGGGGCTACAATAGTGAGTTGCATCAGGACCCCAGTCTCCAACCTCGGGAGGGGTAGAAACAACAAATAAACAGGTTAATAGTCACGTATTAAAAATTAACCTATCAGGGTGAACACTACCATAGGGAGGGCATAAGAGAAGCACTTAGTCATTTCAAGAGAAATCTACCATTGACTGATACTTTGAGAAACAAATTCCTGTTCTACATAAGCCTCTACCAGGCCAAACCAGAACTCGTTCCCACGGGTCAGCAAAAGCAGGTTCACCTGTCAGAATGTGCCAATGCCTGACAGTCTTTGCACTCCAGTTTCTCACCCTGCCTTCTCCAATATTTGCTAACAAATCTGAACGTCGTTGGGGAATGTAATTGCAGAGCATATGGTCCCCATTAGTTAGGCAAACTCCACTGCCAAATTTGGCTCCAAGAAAGGAGTCTGCATAAAGGATGAAGTATTAGGAAGAGATCGACAGTGACAGAGAAAGCAAATAAAAGAGATGAGACAGCGAGTTACAAAATAGCAGGCTTGGCATCCTCAGCACAATGAAAGTGGAACGTTTTTCTGTTGGGAAAACAATACGTGTGAATTTGTGCAAAAATCTCCCCATAGCGAAAATCAAAGCAGACCATTCACTAGAATCAATGTTAACTGCTTTGCAACGTCAGATAAGATAGATTCTGCGTGGGAGAAAAACTGGGGGGAACAGAATAGACAGTGTGCCAAGGAAATAAAGCATGAATGATACCAAATGTAAATATGGGCTCAGGACTATTTTAAATGTTAATGGACCCAGCCTTTGAGAGGAGAGATGGAATCTCACGCTTACTAACCTTTCACATTCAGAGAGTCTGAAACTGTAGGCTAAAAATTGGAGTTAAACGGTCCCTTGAGACCTTGAAGGAATGACTGGGTGAGGTGGGACCGTAGGGTATCGTCAGGCTGAAGGCAGTGCCCCTGCCCAGTCCAGCCTCAGAAAAATTGTGGAGGAAGCAGGACTGCGCTTGCACCCAGACACACCTGGTGGCCTGGCCTGTTCTTTCCAGAGAGCTAAAGTAGGGGTCTCCTTGCTCATTGTCCACCTCCTGTTCCTTGGGTTTCAGTCTCTTGCAGTTATCTCGCTCATACCTCATTTGACAGATTTTCAAAAAGCCATTTACCTTAATTAGATCTTTCTAAAAATAATCAACTTTGTTTTTGTCAAATCAGTAACCTCTTAGACATCTATTTCTTTGGTTCACATACAGTTTAACTGCATGGCATCCTACAAGAACAAATGTTTTCAGCCAGCTGGGGACTGCTGGTAAGCTCAGCTGGCAAAATACAAGGAGACAGGTGGAGTAAGGAGCACCCCACAAGGTGTAAAATGTCAGTGCACCATGTATAGTAGTGGGCATGTTCACAGTGGGTGGAGAGGGAGCAGCAGCTGACCCAGCTAGTTAAGTAGTGCTTGGTTAAAGAGGGCTGCTAACACAGAAAATTGTAGGTATCGATCAATGAGAGATGAGTGAAATGAAATTATTCATCCATTCAGTGGAGTACTAGACACTCAAGACAAAGGATGAAGTAGATGTATGTATATCAGGGGTTGGCAAATTACATCTCATAGGCCAAATGTGGCCTGATGCCAATTTGTAAATAAAGTTTTATTGAACCATAGTTATGCCCTTTCATGATGCATCATCTTTAAGCTGATTTCCTGCTGTAAAGATAAGTAATTGTGTCAGACTACGTGGCATGTCAAGTCTAAAGTATTTACTGTCTTACCTTCTATAGAAAAAGTTTGCTGACTCCTGGCCTGTATTACACAGGGTGAAAATGTAACATACAGTAGGATCCCATTACTGTTGACTGATTATGTGGATTTATACATTCATTAAAATTTGGAAGAAAATAAGGGTCAAGCCACAAAATTGATTGTGAAGGTAGGACAAGAGGCAGAGGGGAAAAATAAGGAGACCTACGAGGGACTTTTGCTTTTCACTTTATACATGTCTGTTTTGTTTAGGTTTATGTAGGTTAAGCATGCGTAATTATCATCAGGAAAACTGCTTTTAGGAAAAATGAATGTATATGGGCCTAAGACCACAAAGGATGTAAATAGCCTTATCAGAATGGGAATGAATTTCTGCTCATTCCATAGACCATTCTGGGGCTCTGCATTTCCTAGTGATGCAGGAAAACAGATGTGGGGCATGAGGAGGGCTGTGACCCAGGCTTCCGTTGAGCCCCTGGGACGTGCCCAGCCAAGTGTGGGTCCCTAGCTTCGTACAGGAAAGAATTCAAGAGTGAGCCACAGTTGAGTAAAGGTAGATTTATTCAGAGAGATACGTTGAAAGGCAAGAGAAAGGCCACGAGGTGTGGGGGTTGTGTGCTCAGATTGAAAGTAGGTACACACTCCATAGACAGAGTGTGGGCCATCTCAGAACGGGGAGAGAGAGAGGGGGGCAGCGCCCGTGAGGCACTGTGCTGCCAGTTTTTATGGGCTTGGTGGCTTC